CCACCCTAACCACCCTAACCACCCTAACCACCCTAACCACCCTAACCACCCTAACCACCCTAACCACCACCCTAACCACCCTAACCACCCTAACCACCCTAACCACCCTAACCACCCTAACCACCCTAACCAATCTTGGAAACTCAGCCTATTCCGCCGCTACCGACACTGAAACTACCAGAAAACGGCTATCAATGCAAACTATGCAAATCTCTCTCTCTGAGTCAGGGTAAATCCCGTATCCATCTACGTAAGAGCCATGGGATCAAAGGCTATACAGCTCAGGATACAGAAGCTACTATATGCCTGATCCAAGCCTTAGAGGGCTCAGCCTATCTTTTTCGTGTTACCGAGCCTAGGCTATCTTTGCCTACTACTCTCACTCGTAAGAGATCTAGAGAGCTCTCTCTCTCAGGCTCGGTCTCTAGCCCAGGCCAGCGGCTAAAGATAGCTACTCTCTCTGAGCCAACTGGGCCTAGCCAGCTAGCTAACCGGGCTCTCTCAGCCAGCCGGGCCTAGCCAGCCAACTGGGCTCTCTCAGCCAGCCGGGCCTAGCCAGCCAACTAGGCTACTCAGCCAGCCGGGCCTAGCCAGCCAACTAGGCTCTCTCAGCCACCGGCCTAGCCAGCACCGGGCCCAGCCAGCCAACCCAACAAGCTCTCTCTACCCAGTTTTTAGCTAGCCTGGCTAATCTACGGAGCTCTCTGAAACAATCTAGGGTAATCCAACCCCTTGATGAGACCTACGAGGCTAGGGGCTTTTTCACAGATAGCCAGTATCCAGCCTATCTAGCTGGCCGGGATGCTGCTGAGCTAGAGACCCTATTTACCCTACAGAGCCCGGAGCAGATGATCTGGCTCTCCGCTATTATATATCAGCTGATTTCTCTAGGGAATAGCTATATTCAAACAGCCTCTCCACAGACCCGAGCGGCTCTGAATTCCTTTAGCCTAGACCCCGCTACCCAGGCTACATTACGTCCGCTACGGGGTCTACAAAATAAGGCCTCCATCAAGAAATATAGCCTGATTTTTCAGGCTTTAATTCAATTTTTACTACGTTCTTATCTCTCTATCGATAGCGGCGGCCCTGCAAGCTATCAGGGTCTTTATACTCTACAACCGCGGCAGCTAGCTAGCCTAGCAAGCCTAGATCACTTTTTACAGGCTTTGCCACCTCCATCCGAGAGCCTAGCTGCCTATCAGCCAGCTTCCTTCCAGCCTAATGATCTATCTGATACAGGCTCCGATACAGGCTCCGATACAGCCAGTTCCGATAACGATACTCTACCGATACTACCGCAAGCTAGCTTGGATAATAAACAGATCTCTAAGGGTGTAGGCTTAGTAATTGAGCTAGCCCTCTCTCTAGCTGAATGTGAGGCTAGAGATAGACAAGATATCCCACTCTATGCATTCCTAGCCTATTTTAGCCGGAACTATCAACGTGATTGCTTTAAACCGTTGGACCAAATCACCCATTCTTACTCAGCGATTATCAAATGCTACCAGTTGATTATACTATATTGGCTATATACAGATATCTTTACTGATTTAGCTATTGATCAATCTATGGCTAGTTATACTAGATCTTGGATGCACCAATGGTTTATTGCACAATCGGAGACTCCGTTAGGGCATATATTGATCTTACGTGCCCTAGGCTTTGCTATATCGAAATCTAGCACCTCGCTAGGCAAGATATATAGCCTAGCTCCCCATACCCTTCGGTATCAACATATTACTCTCTCGCAGCAAGATCTAAGGGTCTTCCTAGCTAAAGGTATAAATCAGCTTGCCCTAGCTTTATCAAATGATCTATTTCTGGAATTTACAAATTTTCAAGCGGTAAGTTAACAACCCTAACGAGTATGATATATATATATCTATATCTAGCTATATCTCTATATCTTACTATATTTACTAATATATATCTATCTATCTATCTAGGCCCAATCTTCTCTATCTCTCTCCAAGGCTGCCAGCTTCGAAGATATAGGAAATATAACAAATCAATGGTCTTTTCTATCAGTCTATCTAGCTGGCCAGCCATCTGATTTCTTACTTCAGAAGGCTTTAGCTTCCCCAGCCTGGACGGAAGAGATAGTAGCCGAAGATAGGCCTGATATAGAGCTCTCCCGGCCTAAGGCTCTAGGCTATCTAGAGACTACCAGCAACTAGCTAAAAGGCCTTCTAACCCTTACCCATATAGCCAGCGGCGCACCGGCTAGAGGTACAGAGATAAATCAGGTGATCTGGCAAAATACAGCTACCAACCAACGGAATTTATTCCTAGATCCAGTGAACCATATCTTTCTGATCCGGCTAGCCTATTCGAAGACCTTTAGCCAAAATGGCCAAGAGAAAGATGCTGTACGGGCCTTACCACAATCAATCTCGTGGCTAATTTTAGCCTATCTGGCCTATATTAGGCCGTTTGAAGAGGGCTTGCTGATCTGGCTGAATAAGCAGCTGCCTGAGGCCCATTTTATACTATTCTATGATCACCGGATAGCTCAGCCGTTCTCTTCTAAGATACTCTCACATACACTGAAGAGTATGACCTCAGAATTGATTACTCAGCGTATCAATATAAAGGTCTGGCGGCATCTAATGCAAGGCTTTATCCGGTATGGGCTAGGTCTAGCCGATCCGCTAGACGATTTGGGTACTGATAGGCTAGATGCGGAAGGCCTTAGAGCTGAACAGATGAACCATTCTCGTGGAACCGGCTTAGCTGTATATGGCCGAAATATAGCAAGCTTCCAGGGTATTAGGGCAGATATCCAAACAGCTTTGATTAGCTTTAGTCAACAATAGCATACCTATCTAGGTATATCAGCTGATCAGCTTATATTAGGCACACTATTCTATAATAGGCAATCTGTGAAGCCTAAGGCCGAAGTCCAAGCCCAGCCAGCCTCTTCTAGCCTTCCAGAGCTTGTTTTACTACCCCTAGAGAGGCCGGTTGTACAGTATCACTACCCTATCCGTTCAGGGGCAGTCAGGCCTACTAAACAGGTTAGCCTAGGCCAGTTCTATGAGTTTTTAAACTTATATAGCAATATATATTGCAGCCAGCCAGCTACTCTCTCTCAGCCAGCCGGGCTCTCTCAGCCAACTGGGCCTAGCCAGCCAACTGGGCTCTCTCAGCCAGCCGGGCTCTCTCAGCCAACTGGGCTCTCTCAGCCAGCCGGGCTCTCTCAGCCAGCCGGGCTCTCTCAGCCAACTGGGCTCTCTCAGCCAGCCGGGCTCTCTCAGCCAGCCGGGCTCTCTCAGCCAGCTAGGCCTAGCCAGTCAACCAGGCCCAATCAGCCAGATCTGGATACCAGTCAGCGTGCACGCAGCCTAGTATACTCCCCTTTGCTAGATAGCAGCTATATCGATAGGGGTACCCTAACGCAGATGCTTAGGGAATTCCTTAGTGATAATACTGCTGTTTTTCGGAGCTCTGGCCAACAGGAAGCTTTTTATGCTATAATAAAGCAAATTCCATATCTCTATCTTATCTTACCAACCGCATCTGGTAAAACTACCCTATTCCTCTTTGGGGCTAGTATATTGCCTAATCAGATAACGATATTGATTATACCGTTGATATCTCTGAAGCTAGATATCCTAGCTAAAGCTGAGGCCTTAGGGCTAAGGCCAATAGTATGGGAGCCTGCTATCGGCTATAAGGGTCTCGATCCGGAATCTCGGCTGATTCTCGTCCAAATTGAGTATATTATATACCCTAAATTCTACGAGATGGCTAGCTATCTAATCAATCAGCAACGGCTAGCTAGGCTAATATGGGATGAATGCCATTTAATCCCACTCTCGCAGAGCTATAGGCCTATTATGAAACGGGTTTGGCATACCCTAGCTTTACCGGTTCCAATGATATTTGCCTCGGCTACCTTACCGATCTATCTAGAAGCTGAGCTTACAGGGATGCTAGGCTTGCAATCTAAGCCATATACGATCAGAGAGAGCCTAATTTTAAAAAATATGGCTTATGGGGTAGAGAGTTTACCGGCCTCGCTAAAGCCAGAGAACTATGCTGGCTATCTGATACAGTGGATTAAGGCTTTTAGGGCTAATCGGCTTAGCTATACCGGGAGGAAGACTATTGTCTTCTGCCGTACAAAGGCTATAGTTGATCAGCTATATCAGGCCTTAGAGCCTCAGGCAGCTAGATTCCATTCAGATCTATCTGAGGAAGACAAATTAGCCCAATTAGCCTATTTCAGAGCCGAGGGTCCAATTTTATTGGCTACTAGTGGTATCGGAGCTGGCTATGATTTCCCAGATGTGGATCTTGTAATCCATTTTAAGCCTGGCCGGTACGAGATTACTAGTTTTATACAGGAATCTGGCCGAGCTGGGAGATCACCGAATCTATCTGCATGGGCTTATTGTCTAATTCCGTCTAGCTCTGGAAGATATATATCTTCAAATGGCCCTGCCGAGCAGATTTATTTTCAGCAGTATCTGGATGAAGATATCTGCCGGCGGAGAGTTATAGCTCGGGTATTTGATAGCCAAGCCCTAGAGCGTTGTGAGCCTAGCTGGGCTCTATGCGATCTCTGTGCTAGCCGATTTGCTACCCTAACTATTCAATCCCAAAGGGTAAAAGCATTAGAACGGCAGTATAATAACGATATGGCCTTTTTTGCTAGAGCGGTAAAATACTGGACCGAGGAGAGATGTTTTATATGCTGGTTAGGATGGTATAGTAAGTTATAACTCTCTCTCTCTCTTTATATATATATATATAAATATATATCTATATATCTATATATCTGTTTGCTAATAATTAAATATAGCTATATATCAAACAGAGCAGCCGAGAGATGAAGCTTCTGCACACTGTTTTACTAGCTGTTACTACTATAGGACAGGCTATAAACAACAGGCTGACAGGCTAAGGGCTATGGTCTATCCAGAGGAAGATAGCTGTTGTTTTAACTGCTATCTGCCTACTAGGCTATGTAAAGGGGCTTTGTCTACTGATAAAGGCTGTTTTTCATCAGAGCTCGCACTAGTATTTTGGGTGTTATCTTCTAAAATAATAGAAGAAAATACAGAGGCTGATGTAATAGATCCAAGCCTAAACGGGGAATGGGTGCCTAAGGAATGGACGCCTACTGGATTTAGAGAGCAGATATGGAGATTAGATACAGAGATGGTAGCTGGGGTATGGTTTTTTTATGGTTTTGCTAAGGAATTTTGGAGCGATATGGGCATGGAGTAATAATTTGGATTAATTTGGAGTTTTACTAGTTTTGCTATATGTCTTATACAATGATTTTATTATAGCTGGATAGCCATGGATTTTCTCTATCTAACGGTCCAATTTTGGGTTTTATATGATTATTATAGAGCTTAATAGGAGAAGGCTAGCTAAATCAAACTAAATTGAATTAAGTGGGCCGGTGTAAGCCGAGCTATATCAAACGGACTGGGGCTATCCAAGCCGAATCGTATCAAACTGACTGGGCCCATCCAAGCCGAGGTATACCAAACCAACTAAGCTGAACCATATCAAACCAACTGGCGCATCTAAACCAAATCATATCAAACTGACTGGGCCTAACCAAGCCGAACCAAGCCGAATCGTATCAATCTGATTAGGCCTATCTATACCAAACCAACTGGCGCATCTAAACCAAATCATATCAAACTGACTAGGCCCAACCAAGCCGAATCGTATCAAACTGACTGGGCCCATCCAAGCCGAACCAAGCCGAATCGTATCAATCTGATTAGGCCCATCCATACCAAACCAACTGGCGCATCTAAATCGAATCATATCAAATCAACTGGGCCTATCTAGATCAAACCAACTGGCGCATCTAAATCGAATCATATCAAACTGACTAGGCCCATCCAAGCCGAATCGTATCAAACTGACTAGGCCTATCTAAGCTGAATCGTATCAAATCAACTGGCGCATCCAAGCTCAGCTATATCAGACCAACTAAGCTGAACCATATCAAACCAACTGGCGCATCTAAACCGAATCATATCAAACTGATTAGGCCCATCCAAGCCGAATCGTGCCAAACTGATTGGGCCCAACCAAGCCGAATCGTATCAAACTGACTGGGCCCAACCAAGCCGAATTGTGCCAAACTGATTGGGCCCAACCAAGCCGAATCGTGCCAAACTGATTAGGCCCATCCAAGCCGAATCGTATCAAATCAACTGGCGCATCCAAGCTCAGCTATATCAGACCAACTAAGCTGAACTATATCAAACCAACTGGCGCATCTAAACCGAATCATATCAAACTGACTAGGCCCAACCAAGCCGAATCGTGCCAAACTGATTAGGCCCAACCAAGCCGAATCGTATCAAACTGACTAGGCCTATCTAAGCTAAATCGTATCAAACTGATTGGGCCCATCCAAGCCGAACCATATCAAACCAACTGGCGCATCTAAACCGAATCATATCAAACTGACTAGGCCCAACCAAGCCGAATAGTACCAAACTGACTGGGCCTAACTAAGCCGAGCCATATCAAATCAACTGGGTTCATCTATATCAAACCAACTGGCGCATCTAAACTAAGCCATACCAAACCAACTAAGCCTATCTATATCAAATCAACTGGCGTATTTAAACCGAATCATATCAAACTGACTAGGCCCATCTAAGCCGAATCGTATCAAACTGATTAGGCCTAACGAAGCCGGATCGTATTAAACTGACTGGTCCCAACCAAGCCGAGCTATATCAAATCAACTAGGCCTATCCAAATCAAACTAACTGGCGCATCTAAACCGAATCATATCAAACTGACTAGGCCAGTATAAGCCTAATCGTATTAAACTAACTAGGCTAGTGCAAGCCGAATCGTATTAAACTGACTAGGCCTAATTAAGCCGAGCTATATCAAATCAACTGGTGTATCTAAGCTAAGCTATATTAGACTTAGTGGGCTAGGCTTGCTCTATATTTTGGTCTACTCCGCTGTTCGGCTTACTTAGTTAACTAGCTAAATAGCTAACCAGCTAACTGGCTAACTAGTTTACTAGTTTATTTAGTTAACTAGTTTACTAGCTTACTGGCTTACTGGCTTACTGGCTTACTAGCTTACTGGCTAACTGGCTAACTGGCTAACTGGCTAACTGGCTAACTAGCTAACTGGCTAACTGATTAAGGTGGTTAACTAGTATACTAGCTTAGCTAGTTATACTGATTGATCTAAGCTAAACTATATATTAGTCTACTCTTCTGTTCGGCTTACTAGGCTAACTAATTAACTAGCGAACTAGCTTAGCTAGCCAACTGGCTTATATAGCTAACTAGCTTAGCTGTCTATAGCTAGGCTTCTCTACTAGAAGATATAATTTTTATTATAATATCTTTACTATTAAACTAATAAAATACTAGTCTAATATATTAAAGTAGTTATATTAGGGTGATTAGAGTTAAATAGTCTTATCTCTCTTATCTTATCTTTAATAAGAAATCCTAAAAGGGAATAGCCTATCCGCGCCCACTCGGTTTATTATCCCCCATCAAAACTGAATTCCTGAAATACAAACTAGCTAGGGTCTACCCTTTATATTTCTATATCTTATTATATTTTTTAATAATATAATAGATCACAGCCTAATTATAAAACTTCCAAAAAGAGCGATCATAATATCTTAAAGATTAGAGATTTAGGAGGGGGGTCCGTCTTAGACCCACTTATTCTAGAGACCCACTCGGACCCCCCCCCCTTGCCAAGACTTCTTAATGCAGAGACCCCCCCCGGGTCCGGGCCCGACTATAGTTAGGATTAAATATTATGTTAGGATAGTGAATAGATAAGTAGATATATTAAGCTGACGCCTAGATTACTAGAATGGGGTTAAGGAAGTATTACTAATAATACTTAAAGAAAACGATAATAGGACTTTGGGGTATAATCACTAAGTCCTAGTAATAACTAGTGTCTTAAAAGAAAATGATTAGATCTAATGGATTAAGAATAAAACTATTAAGAATAAATTATTATAGAATATCTAAGGAACTACTAGTAATAAAATAAATAATAAACTCTTTAGGATTTATAGACTTATCTATATTCTAAAATCCCTATAGGAGGAAACTATTAGAAAATACTATAACTTACTAGAATTTGGTCATATAGGAATAAAAAAAATAGTAAAATAAATATTGAGGAACTACTATATATTAAATATATATAGAAAAGTTAGAAAATATATCCAATACTATAATAGTTATTAGTAAAATAAACTAGTAAGGTATTTATCTTATAGAGAATTATAACTAGTAGAAGTACCTATAGAATCCTAGGAATAGATTATAATAGACTTTATTACTAAACTACCAGATTCTAGTAGAAATAATATAATTATAGTGATTGTAGATAAACTTACTAAATATATATATATAATCATCTTTATAGAAACAATCACAGCGGAAGATATAGTAATACTGTTTATCTGGTATGTCTTTACTAACTATAGGATGTTATAAAAGATTATATCTAATAGAGATAAGCTCTTTATATTGAAAATGTGGAAATTATTTATAGATATTATAGGTATAGAGTTAAAACTCTTAATATCTTATTACTTATAGATAAATAGGTAGATAGAATAAATAAACTAAATATTAGAATAATATTTAAGATACTATGTTAATTATGAATAAGATAATTGGGTAAACCTCTTACTAGTGGTATAGCTTATGTATAATAACTTAATGTATATAATAACGTAAGAGATGCTGTTCTTTACGAACTATAGCAGAAATCCTAGCATAGAATAAGAGCTAAGAGAGGAATATGTGGTGGCGGAATCAGTATAGATTATAGCTATAGATATGAAAAAGTTATATCTTCAACTAATAAGAGATGTTAAATTCTTTAATATCTATATAAAAAAATATTACGATTAATGCTATAAAAAGGGACCTAAACTTGAAAAGGGGGGGAAGGTATATCTTCTATATCAAAATATTAAAATAAAATAATTAAGTAATAAACTAGATTATAAAAGGCTAGGACTATTTATGATTAAAGAAAAAACTAGACTAGTGAATTATAAACTATAACTACTAGAAAGTATAAAGTAGGTTTATCTAGTATTCTATATCTTATTATTAGAACCTATACTGGAAAATATATAAATTACTACTAACGTTAAACTTAATAATGAAATAGAAAAAGAGTATAAAGTTAAGGAAATCCTAGTATATAAAAAGGTTAATAGAAAATCATAATACCTAGTAAAATAGTAGGATTACGATACCTTAGAAAACATATAGGAACTTATTAAGAATTTAATAGGCTATCTCTAGCTAGTTTAATAGTACTACTAGTAGAAGAAGGGGACTTCATTATATTCCCCAGTAAAAAAATATCTATCTTACTCTAAGAAAAGGGTGAGTTAGGATTGG